ACCGACTTTTCCCAGCCAGAACAGCATCAGCAAAAGGAAAGCAAGAAGGAAAAAGGGAAATGAACACTTTTTCATTATTCTAAATAAAATTCACTTTTAGAATTCGAATTCTTATCGATATAACTGGATAAACTTAAATGTAACTGGGCAAACCCAGAAAAAGTGTACGGTCAAATCAAAGTGACATGAGTGCTTTGAAATAACGCGAATAAATTGATTCCTTAACTTGAAATTTACAAATCATCCGAAAAAGATGAAACAAATTTGATCATAGAAGGGTGAAATCGAGGAGAAGTTGAGATGAAAAAGAAATGGTCGTCACAAGAAAACTCATAATGTCATAATGTTATAGCTTGATGATTGAGATTTCGGATGAGGATGAGAACGCCCAATCGGATGCGTATTAGCAGTGGATTCGACAAAGAAGACGGGTCAGTCTAAGCAACATGCAATCTTTGCTGGACCATCTTTTTGGTGAAAAAGTAAAGACGAGGCGTGGATTGCCATCTCACAGTCTCGACTCATCATCGTCTCTTTTGATTTCACCCAATTCCATCCAACCCAACCACAAGGGATCCTAAGAAAGATCCATTTATGTGTAAAACAGCGTTCGTTTTCTCTTTGGTTCTTATTGGCTTAGGGCCTAAATTAATGTTTGTAAAGACTTTAGAACACTTTAAAATCAATTTTTATACCTTGATAATGAAAAGCGAAAGTAAGCGAAACTTTGAAGGCTTATCTCTCGAAAATGGCTGATGATAAGTGGGATTTGAAAGCAGTTTGGGATACCCTTAACCAGGGTGTGCTTGCATCTCGGAATCAGACCGCTCCTGAAATCTAACTTCAAAGGGTTCCCCTGTGAGAGCTCAAAGCCGTATCTCCCGTACCAGATTCAGGTTGGACAGCTCAAAGTCGTTTTGAGTCGGGCTTCGAGTGAGATTTCGGTGATCGAGTTCCCGACCATAGTTCGAACGCGACCCAGCAAGTGTATTGAAGTAAACGGAGAATATTTTGAGCATTTAATGAAAGAAGGTGGCGGAAATTTGGGCACACCCTGTAATGGATGAGGCAATCTCTGTGAATGAGAATTATTTTTCAACATCGTTTCTATTATTAAAAGAAAGAAAAGATTGAAGGCGAGAAGAGCAAACAAAGGTTTGAGAGAGACATCTTACGATTTAGATGGTGCGCCGGCTCACAAGGCAAAGAAAGTGCAAGAGTTTTGTTCAAAGACCTTCACGGACTTCATCTCGTTTTCTGAGTGGCCACCCAGCTCACCCGATCTTAACCCATTGGATTACTCAGTCTGGAATGTTCTTGAAGGCAGAGCATGTGCAAAACCACATAAAAATATCGAAAGTTTGAAGAAGGCGCTCATCAAATCATGGGATACCCTCGTTGATGCCTATTTGCTCGCCATGGTCAACGCGTTTCCCAAACGTTTGCAGACCTGTCGGAATGCCGATGGAGGCAAATTTGAATTTAATTGTTAATTTGTTACTGTTATATGTTGAATAAAGATATTTATGGATGGATTGCATATTTGATTAAAAGCCAGGCCTTTTGTGTGTTGCGGTAATTCTTGGTCACCCTGTATATAGCTAAACTCTACTGTAGCTTTGGTATACATACTGTAACTATGGTATATGGTAGCTATTGAATACTGTAGCTAGGGAATACTCGAATTTTGATTAATCTACACTTTTCAGGCATTTAGGTGGTTATCTGCGTTGGCATAACTTCAGTGGCTTGTATGTGCGTTGTCATTCATCCACTCGGATACGATAAGCCTAAGAACAAACAGAAAGTGGCAAATCTGAAGCAGCCAGCCAATTTCAGGACAAGGTTTGAACATTCAAAATCTCTATCCTTATCAGAGTTTGAGATCTAGCCGTCAAACTAAAAGACAATATTTTTCATCCTCATTTCTTTTTACAGTTTGGTTTTTATTCGTTGAATTTGGCTAGTTTTATTGTGTTTTCGTCACTTTGGAACTGATAGAAAGAAATTTTCTGATACTTTTATGAAATCAACTCAAATCTAGCTCTGTCAGTTAAGAGTTAAAACAAAAATGAGCAATTGAAATAAAGACAATCACGTAAACTGATAATTGAGAGCTTGAGTCGGATTTTCTGTAAATTGAAGCCATAATTGAACCACTCCAGTCATCGGACTTTTTCTTGACCCTGAAGTAATATGTTAATAAGATCAGATTGATTAGATCTTGGGTTAAATCCAGTTTTAAAAGTAACAAATTTAATGACAGCACAGTACTTCAACATCTTGGTTTTTAAGTTCGACCAATCGTTGGCCCTGTGAATGACGTGGACGCCCCTGCAAAACACGGCAATTTGGCTATCGATTGACCAATTCTTTCACCTGAAATTGATCATTCAATTAGAAAACTTATTTTATCAAAACTCTACTAATAATAAAAGCTAGATATCCAAATTACTGGAAGAACCATTACTTTCTATTTATTTATGTCTTTCAATAAGAACAATTCAACCTTCAATCCGATCCAGAACCAATTCAAGGAATCAACAGTATTCGCTGAAATAAATACCGATTGTTTTTGGTTTATAAAGCATAAATTTCTACGAAAATCATGAATTTTCAGAATTGAATCATTTCGATTTCTTACCGAGTTCCCAAACAAAATCGTTCTCTTAGTTAGTATAAAATCAGTGTAGATTAATAAATTTGAAAAACATAGAGTGTTGCAAGACTGTATAGTTTTTGGTGTATTTTTTAGTAGTTTTGTCATTTATTTTTTCGTTTTACGCTGAACTTCAAATTTATTTTTGCAAATAAAGTGTACATGTATTATTCTAAATAAAAAAAAGTCCTACGAACAGGTGGCATTTTCTATAAAAATTTCATTGATTCTTTCGAAAAAGTGATGTTGCAAGACTTTTGCTCGGTATTGTAAAATAAACTACAAACCGAATAGAATAGAATATAAGAGCAAATGAGAAAATTGCTAAAAGAATAATAACCAAATTACTTTTTGAATTACAATTTGGCATTGTGAAATAAGCGGACCTTTAACATAAATCAAATTCAAATTATTTGGAAGAAAGATTAAAGTATCTAGGAAGAAATTAACTAAGCCAATGTTTTGTATGCCTTTATAGGCGAAATAGCCAAAAAAGAGGCAAAATTTTGAGTGGGGGTTGGGGTAAGCCAGTATCGCCCTCTTGAAAAATTGCTTAAATGATTTTGTATGTTTTTATGACGAAAAAGAGGTAAAATAATGAGAAAGAGGCGTTGAGCTAGTATCACCAAAATAAAAAAATGTCTAAAAAAGTGTAAGCTTTAGCGCCGAAAATTTCTCAAAAAGCACTCTCATAACCATTTTATTTTAAAGAATGCAGAACTTCATTATTTAGCTGTATATCTTTAACTTACTTCTAGTGGTTCAAAAGTGTTCAGTCGAGCAATTATTTTATTTTTCGCGTGCTCTTGAATTGGCCAATCTTACATTTTTTCTATTTCTGCCACCCGTTCTCTTCTCTCGTGCAAAAACCACACTGTCGCTTCATAATGCGCCTAGTGAGATGCCTGTCCTGTATTCGAATCCTTTTCTCCTTTTCTTCCAAAAATTATTCCGTAAAACCGTTCTTTTTGTTTACGAGGACTCCTTCCCGCGTCAATCTTCCTCTTTTTAACATTTTATCTACTTAAATTCGTTTTTAATTTTGTTTTCAGAGAATGTCTGTTCAACCAGTCAACCCAAAACCATTCCTCAATGGCCTCGCCGGAAAGCCAGTTGTGTGCAGATTGAAGTGGGGAATGGAATATCGAGGCGTCCTCATCTCGGTCGACGGTTACATGAATGTCCAGGTGGGGTTGTCTTTGTGTAAGTTTTTATGGCATAGCCTAAAGCGAGTTTGGAGAGGTACGTTCTGAATTTTGTTAGCTTTTATTTTGTGCGAGAGCTTCTTCAAGAAAACATTATCCGTGGAAAGTTTGTTTTTTAGCATTTTCTGAAGTAAACAAAATTTTAGGGGTTTGCTGACTCGATCGATAATTCAAGCACAAGCCTTTTCTCCAACATTTTCACATGGTGACGCTGATGGAATGAATGATTCCAAGTTTCCTGTTATTGGTGAATTGACATTTAAGTATGTTTCACAGTTTTAGGCTTTAGAAGTTATGTATTTAGGCGTTTGATTGTGCAGTTCAAGCTATATTTTCGTCAAAACGACAAAGCAACAACGGTGACTGCCAGTAAATTTCTCGCACATTTGATCAATCAACAAGTGGTATGCTGTTTTTCTTTGAATATGAATTCGATGCATATTTAGGCTCACGAGTTGCTTGCTCCTGAGATCATGCTTTGATGCTTAAAACACCAACGGAAGATTCAGTGGAAGTGTGTATTGCTTTTCTGGAAGAATGTGGCGCGAAACTGACAGAGGTTTGCTTTATTTAGAAAGGCTGATTGAGAAATGATTTGTTAGATTGCCCCGCGTGCCTTGGACAATGTTTTCTCAAGACTTCGAAACATTCTTGCTGAAGCACAATTGGATTCCCTTATTCGTTATATGATTAAAACTGCATTTATTTCAAAAAATATAGACGTTAATTATTTAGCTGAATATCTTGAACTTACTTCTAGTGGTTTAAAAAACTTCAGTCGAGCAATTGTTTTATTTTTCGCGTGCTCTTGAATTAGCCAATCTACATTTTTACGCCTTTATATTTCTGCCACCCGTTCTCTTCTCTGGTGCAAAAACCACCCTGTCCCTCCATAAAGCGCCTAGTTATACACCTGTCTTGTATTCGAATTCTTTTCTTTCAAAAATTATTCCGAAAAACCGTTCTTTTTGTTTACGAGGACTCCTTCCCGCGTCAACCTTGCACTTTTTAACATTTTATCTACTTAAATTCGTTTTTAATTTTGTTTTCAGAGAATGTCTGTTCAACCAGTCAACCCAAAGCCCTTCCTCAATGGACTCGCCGGAAAGCCAGTTGTGTGCAGATTGAAGTGGGGAATGGAATATCGAGGCGTCCTCATCTCGGTCGACGGTTACATGAATGTCCAGGTGGGGTTGTCTTTGTGTAAGTTTTTATGGCATAGCCTAAAGCGAGTTTGGAGAGGTACGTTCTGAATTTTGTTAGCTTTTATGTCGCTTGTGAACAGTCAGATATATGCCGAGTAAGCTTGCGTAGACCTAGGCATTCACAAATAAACTTTTTATCTTTTAGATGGCTAACGCGGAGGAATACATTGAGGGAACAAACACTGGAGCTTTGGGAGAAATGTTAATAAGGTGATTAGTGTGACCTTTGTCTAATTTGTTTAAATCTAGGTGCAACAACATCCTGTACATCGGAGGCGCCGAAGACTCGGGGGGTTGATCGCCTAGTTTTCATTATTGGTCATTTTCATTATTATTTTGCTAACTTGTTGAGTGTGTAACGTTATTAGGGATCTCTTCCGTATTTTTATCAATAAAGTTTAATTTTTGAGTTAATTATATTAACGGTTCATGCTGCATGAATCAAACGCAATACCTATAAACTGAAAAGTTTACATCCGAATTAGAAGGAAGTCATTTAGGGCCCTGACGACGAAACTCCTCGACGTGAAGAATCACCAGAAAAGGGAAAAGAAAATGAAGCTCCTCAAAAGTATACAAGAAAACTTTGTTGAAGTAAATACATTTTAGGACTTGTTGACTTGTCGATTTATTGCGTTCTCGCACTGGAGACCCATACATTCCGCCAGCGACACTGAAGTTGATGCAAGAACAAATCCAGGTAATGTATCAAATGATAACGTGGCTACAGAAAAAATTTAGGATAGATCGGGTGAGCAATTTCAACGATTGAATGGGGGTGTCTTAAGAAAAAGATCTAGGGTCCCGTCAACAAAGTCAACCCCAGCAATCTTGTCGGAATTTTGCGAGAGCTTCTTCAAGAAAACAGTATCCGCGGAAAGTTTGTTTTTTAGCATTTTCTCAGGTAAACCAAATTTTAGGGGTTTGCTGACTCGATCGATAATTCAAGCACAAGCGTTTCTCCAACATTTCCACATGTATACGCTGGTTTGGTTGGCGTGATTAATTCCAAGTTTGCTGTTATTGGTGAATTGACACACTTAAGTATGTTTCACGGTTTTGGGCTTTAGAAATTATGCATTTAGGCGTTTGATTGTGCAGTTCAAGCTACCTTTCCGTGGAGACGACAAAGCAACAACGGTGATCAGTAAATTTTTGACATTTTCGACATCGCACATTTGATCAATCAACAAATGGTATGCTGTTTTTCTTTGGGTATGAATTCGATGCATATTTAGGCTCACGAGTTGCTTGCTCTTGAGATCATGCTTTTGATGCTTAAAACACCAACGGAAGATTGTGTGTATTGCTTTTCTGAAAGAATGTGGCGCGACACTGACAGAGGTTTGCTTTATTTAGAAACGCTTATTGAGAAATGATTTGTTAGATTGCCCCGCGTGCCTTGGACAATGTTTGCTCAAGACTTCGGAACATTCTTACTGAAGCACAATTGGATTCACGTATTCGTTATATGATTGAAACTGCAATGGCAATTCGGAGAGATAAATTTGCGGACACTTTTTAGTTCTATTGCTTGGCAAAGTTTATTCTTTAGAGACTACCCAGCTTTAATTGATGAACTCGATCTTATTTCGGAAGAGGACCAAATTACACATACCTAAAAAATTAAATTTTCGATCAACTTGGCTTTCAAACAAAATTTACAGACATTCTCAAATTGGATCCCGATTTCGAGAAAAGTGAAGCTGCCTTCAACGAGATCCGTGAACAAATCATTGGTGACGCCGGTGAAAGTGAAGAGGACCAGGATGAAGAAGTTGACGATGAGGCAGCTGCAAACGGTAGACATTCAATTTTATGGATTTAAATTTTATAAAGCTTGAGACGAATCTAATGAATCGAATCACAGCAAAGTACACAATCATCGCTCGACTATCAAGAGGCCACTCACAAACTTCTCAAAATGGGTGTCAAGCGAGAATTGGAGGTTGGGCTTATTGATAGAATATAAAACATTTTTGGCTCTTTCCAATTACTAGGTACTTTAACCGTGGAACCCGCTTTTCTTAAATTTAAGGTACTTAGTAATAGAAAAAAGCCAGTTTTTTTTTTTCGTTATAGCCGGAACGCATTCACATTCTCGTTGATTGTTGTGCACGGGAACGTACTTATGAAAGGTTTTATGGACTTCTCTGCGAGCCTTTTTGTCGGCTGAAACGTGAATTTCAAGTTAGTTTCAAAAGTATATTTCAAAAGTATATAGGGGTTGTCTTTGTGTAAGTTTTTATGGCATAGCCTAAAGCGAGTTTGGAGAGGTACGTTCTGAATTTTGTTAGTTTTGATGTCTCTTGTGAACAGTCAGATATATGATGAGTAAGCTTGCTTTGGCCTAGGCATTCACGAATAAATTTTTTATCTTTTAGATGGCTAACGCGGAAGAATACATTGATGGAACAAACGCTGGAGCTTTGGGAGAAATTTTAATAAGGTGATTAAAGTGACTTTTGTCTAATTTGTTTAAATCTAGGTGCAACAACATCCTGTACATCGGAGGCGCCGAAGACTCGGGGGGTTGATCGCCTAGTTTTCATTATTTATCATTTTCATTATTATTTTGCTAACTTGTTGAGTGTGTAACGTTATTATTGATCTCTTCCGTATATTTATGAATAAAGTTTGATTTGTTGAGTTCAGGAGCCAGCAAATAACGCCAGCAATCTTGTCGCAATTGTGCGAGAGTTTCTTCAAGAAAACATTATCCGCAGAAAGTTTGTTTTTTAGCATTTTCTCAAGTAAACAAAATTTTTGGGGCTTAGGCGTTTGATTGTGCAGTTCAAGCGATCTTTTCGTCGAAACGACAAAGCAACAACGGTGATCAATCAACAAGTGGTGCTCACGAGTTGCTTGCTCTTGAGATCATGCTTTTGATGCTTAAAACGCCAACGGAAGATTCAGTGCAAGTGTGTATTGCTTTTCCGAAAGAATGTGATACATATATAAATTTGGAGAGATAAACTTGCGGTCAGTTTTCAGTTCTATTGCCTGGAAAGGTTTATTCCTTTAGAACTACCCAGCTGAATTGATGAACTCGAGCTTATTTCGGAAGAGGGCCAAATTACACATACCCTTTCCCTTGAAGATGCTACTGATCCTGAAAATATGCTTAGTGGGTCAATTAAAAAATTTAATTTTCAATTAACTTGGGTTTCAAACAAACTTTATAGGCATTTTCAAATTGGATCCTGATTTTGAGAAAAAGGCAGCTGCCTTTAACGAGATCCGTGAACATTTGGTGAGGCCGGTGAAAGTGAAGAGGAATCAGAGGAATAGGACGAGAATGAAGAAGGTGACGAGGAGCCAGCTGCAAACGGTAGAAATTCAATTTTATCAAAAAATTTAAACTTTCTCTGTTAAGATTGTCGCAGAACAAATTTCCGCTTCACATTTTGCGTTGCGGGGAGAATCCAGAGTAAACTCTGAATCATTTTGGAGGTCGGAGTGTGGCGAATAGCCACTAAAAGTTAACTCTGACAGCCTAAAATTTGGAAAAATATTGAGGAAATCGGTGCGCCTTCATTTTATTTCGCGCCCCAAGTCATTTATTGTTTTGTAGCTTGTTAGCTGAGTATCTTGTGTTAAAGCCTATATAAGGCAACTGTTGTTCATTTGTTTTTGTTATCTTTCATTTGTTTTTTCTGCTTTCCTCAGATTTTGTGTGAAAGTTGTGTCCTAATTAGGACGAAATTGCTTCTGTTCTTATCGTCACTTTAATTCAATTGTCGATATTGTGTGAAAGTTGCTCAAGTGAGAGCCCAAAGATTCCGAATCAATCGGCTATTGAATAAAGTGCTTTTTTTAGTTCAAGAGAGATCAGATATCTCAAAACAAGAAATAACGTGCCTTGAGTGAAGAGTACCAAGCACAAAAAGAATATTTCTTTACATGCCTTCAACGAGATCCGTGAACATTTGGTGAGGCCGGTGAAAGTGAAGAGGAATCAGAGGAATAGGACGAGAATGAAGAAGGTGACGAGGAGCCAGCTGCAAACGGTAGAAATTCAATTTTATCGATTTAAATTTTATGGAACTTCAGACGAATCTAATGCAATATTTAAATACTTATTTCAGCTCAACCTCAACAAATGGAGATCATTGACAACACTGAGCAAAATGTCGTTGCTTTCCGTCGCGAAGTTTACTTGATTCAATGACAATTCAATGATCGCTCGGCTATCACCGCTCACAAACTTCTCAAAATGGGTGTCAAGCGAGAATGGGGGTTGGGCTTATTGATAGAATCTAAAACATTTTTGCTCTTTCCAATTACTAGGTACTTTAACCGTGGAACCCGTTTTGTTAAATTTTAAGGTAAGTAATAGAAAAGAGCCACATTTTTTTCGTTTTAGCCGGAACTCATTCACATGCTCGTTGATTGTTGTGCACAGCAACGTACTTATGAAGGGTTTTATGGACTTCTCTGCGAGCGTTTTTGTCGGCTGAAGCGTGAATTTCAAGTTATTCTCAAAAGTATATGATTATTTTTTTATTTTAGGCTACTTTTGAGACGATGGCTCGAGAGACTTATCAAACTATCCATCGCTTTGATATTGCGAAACTGAGGAATATGGCTCGTTTAATCCGTCATTTTTCACTTTTCACAGATGCCATTACTTGGGATGTAAGTCTTTATGCGAATATTCACTTTTTCGTATCCATATTTAAGGTGTTCAAATTTAGGTTTTGAGCGAAATCCATTTGAACGAGAATGAGACAACTTCTTCGTGCAGGATTTACATCAAAACCATTTTCCTTAAATTGGCTCAAATGATGGGACTTCCAAAGCTGTATGAAAGGATCTGTCATCCGTAAGTTTAGAGATTTTCTAGAATTCAATAATCTTCAGTTTGAGTCTTTGATCAATAAACATGCATTTGAGGGACTTTGTCCTCGGGACAACCCGGCCAATACTCGCCTCGCCATCAACTTCTTCACATTAATCGGTCTTGGTGGACTGACGTAAGAAAGATTTGAGGAAGCTAATAAGTGTATAAATGTTAGGGTGGATCTTCGCGAGTTTTTGGGCAATGGCGGAAAGAGGAAGAAATCTGACTCCGAATCAAGCTCTGAATCCTCTTCATCATCATCCGACGATGACAGCGACAGCGACAGTGACTCTGATACTACTTCTTCAAGCTAGTCAGATTCGTATTCAAGTGATGATTAGCAATTTTTTATGCTTTTTCTTTTATACTTTTAGAAGCAAAGCGAAGCGTGAAAACAGTCAGCATCGGCTTCTTTGAGAAAGTGTCCAGCCTAGATTTATCAGAACGGTATCAAGAAAACACAGTTTTATTTAGAATTCTTCAAGATGGCTTCATGATTCTTCAAGATTGAAAGGTCAATGATCATCAGCTTCTTTGAGTAAGTATCGAGCCTAGATTTATCAGAACTGTATAAAGAAAGCCGAGTTTTGTTAAGAATTCTTCAAGGATGCTTCATGATTCCTGAAGATTGAAAGGCCAACGATTTTTTTTTAATTTCCTTGGAAATGGAAAAGCTCTTGGAGCAGAGGAAAGCCACCGATCTCAACACAAATGTTTGCTTCTCCGAAAATGGGACAGAATCTGTATTGAAAGTTCTGGGGGAATCGATCGAAATCATTTGATAATCCCTTTCGAGGAGCACAACAAATACGGACGATTGGAGAATCAATTCCGGTTCACAACGAACACCATTACACCTCATCTGTCCAAAAAAAAAACGTCACATTGAGCCGTTTCAGCCTGAAATTCCGTGTCATTTGTAAATCGGGCATTCCCCCTCCTTTCTCTTTATTTTCTGTGGTAAGAAATCCCTATTTTGCTTGTTTGACTTCGTCTTCTCTGATCAATTATGCCCCTTTAGTAGCTGTTTCCTTTAATTTTCACTTGTTCTTCGAGAAAATTCAGTCATTTTGTAGGCATCCAATCGTCTAGCAACCGAAATGGACAATCACTCGAATTCCCAACTCGGAGCCGATTTGTGGGTTTTTCGCCAAATCTTTACTGCTATCCAAAACAGTCTTTAATTTAATCGAAGAGTTTAGGGAAGAAATGAAAAAGGACAAAGGTGCCTGTTTTTTGGTGCCTGTTGTGAACCAGGATTATCTTCATTCCAAGGTTATCGATCAAGAAATGACATTTGATGAAGCCATGGCATTTTGTGGGAGTTGAAAGAGCCATTTAGTCACAATTCACAGGTAGGAAGAGCACGCTTTTGTTTGGGAACTCGGTAAGAAATCGAAATGATTGAATTCTGGAAATTCATGATTTTCGTTGAAATTTATGCTTCATAAACCAAAAACAATCGATTTTTATTTCAGCGAACGAAAGCGATTCGGGATACTTCAAGAATGGCGACTTCTAAAGAAAGTGATTGATGATCATTGTTTGAAAGGAGCTCTCTTCATTACGATCATCTAATAACTACCCACAATAATAAAGTTCTCATTCAAACCCACACAAGTTTCTGTCTTTTGTGATCTCCATGATAACTTTGACCCAACGGCGGAACGCCGAGCCTTCGAATTATGCCGTTATTCTGGTTAATTTGGACTAATAGGGACTCCTTTGATTGAAAAGAGATCTTTGTTAAACTCAAACTCGAACAGCATCTCGCCGGACCTCTTCACTCGCTACTCGTGCCTCAAACCGATTTTCAAAGAAATCAAAGAGAAATTCGCTTAGCTACACGTAATTCTCCGCAAACGTGGCCGAGAACATCACGAGGCAGATGAATGGTGAATTTCGAATGAAATCCATTTTGATTGCTTTCAGTTTGGCATAACTTATATAGTCGATCATTTTGCAAGAAAAGTTGTTGAAAGAGTATAATGTAGTGCTATGTAGATAGCTAAATAATTTCCTCGAAAAAAAATTTCGTCTGAAAATGGGATTTCATTCGGTTTTTGACTATAAAGACATTCACAGCTCATTATATCTACAATACATACATACATTATCTACTTGCTTAGTCTTTATGATTAGCCAAAAAGAGACCAAGATCTTTGCCTACAGAACCAACAGTGAGTCGAAAAAAGCAAAAATCGAATTTTGGAGAACCTCAGGAACAAAAATCAAAGACAAATCGACGAGTTGAAGGGCGAGAAGAGCGACCTTCACGAAGAATTGTCAGTTTCCTCATGCTGATGTCCATTGATGTTCAACACGTTTATCTAATAGTCTATTCAGGAGCGACGAGAGAGCAAAATACTTGCAGCTTCAGGCGGAATTCTGGGTTTCTTGGAAAACTTTTTATATGAGATTTTGAACAAACAATTCAGAAATAAAGAAAAGGATAGTGTGCAGTTGTGTGTTTTCAGAAGATTGAATAACATGGGATTTATTGGTTTTTGTCCACAGAAAAGAACACAGGGCGTTCTTCAGAATTGAGTACTCCTTTTGCAAATAAAAGGACGCTGATCGGTAGGAGGCTCGGCCACCCATTTCCCATTGTGGCTCCCGAAGCTGAAATGTGTTCATTTCTGATGAAAATCCTTTGATAAAACAGTTTGCGTCATTTTACACAAAAAAACT